GAGGTTGTATGGCTTATGGTTTGATGTTTCCTATGTGCTGTGTGTTGTGTACTGCAGTACACAATTTTAAATTTTAAATTATACTCCGCAGGTAACCTGGACCTCAAAATGCCGCCTCTGGACCCACTGGTAGTAACCAACATCAGTATTGAAGATGGCGCAGGAAGACCAGTCACGATAAACCTGCAACTTAATGACGTCGAGATACATGGCCTTAGCAATGCTCACCTGAAGGCAGTCAGGTTATTTTTAACATCTCATTGGTTCAGCCTCTTAAGAAAGCTCTTAGTATTAAGAATTTCATCACTAGCAAAACCCCAGTTCCCACCCGTTGTCAAAGGATGAACTGCCGAAAGTTGAAACCAGTGAAATCTGGTACAAGCGCCCGTGACGTTTCAGCGAATAATCAGGAAAAAAATTGTGGCTCAAATTGTGCATCAGCAGTTGGCTGATCCAGCCTCTTTCTTTCTTTCTTTCTTTCTTATTACATAAATAAAATTAGCTTGACATTGTTTTATAAAAATCCACATCACCAGTTTTAACTGACATTTATTCAGTAGTGTCAAATCTACCTTAGAGAGATTTTTGACGTTTGTGTTCCATATCCGATATCCATTTTCTTTCGTTTAAATTCTGCCAAAGAAACCGTACATGTCTGAAGACTTGTGCAACATATATTAACGGCTAGTTTGGTTAGCGGAGAGAATTCATTAGCCATCACCTAACTACCAAGCTGGAGGACCATTCCTTATCGGTTGCCCGTAATTGTTTGTTCAGAACGTTCGCAACTACCTTTCTCCATCCGCAACCCGAGGGCGGGCATAGCCATGCTAAAGGACCAGCCTAACAAGAATATATAACCTATTTAATTATTCATTTATTTGGAATTTTTTTTAAAAATAATTTGGAACTGAAGAAGGAATTAAGGCTGACTGTGGATGTTATGCCTTCAAACTTTAGGTTCTATTTGAAAAAGTAATATATTAAAAATTTCCCGGTATCTTATTTTTGTAATTGGCAATGAGAGATATACACACAACTTACTAATCTGTATAAGATTTGAGGTTTTCACGGCTGTGACTATGAAGAAAGCAGTCTTCTGGGATTTGGCACCGTGTATATGTGGTGTTAACCGACGTTTCGGAGGAACGTATCGCCTCCATCTTCAGGGTAGAAGGAAAAATATAAGAAATATAAGCAGACCATTCTGCTTGTACCGGTTCTCACGGTCTCTTCGCCTGCGGATTTCTTATATTTTTCCTTCTACCCTGAAGATGGAGGCGATACGTTCCTCCGAAACGTCGGTTAACACCACATATACACGGTGCCAAATCCAAGAAGACTGATTTCTTCAACTTATTAATCTGTTTTGCTTCAGCGCTGATCTTGAAAAGAGGTATCTGGAGTTCCAGGCCGAAGTCCCACTGACAAGAATCGTTGCAAATTACGTCATGCAAGGGAAGTTCTTGGTACTTCCTATAAGAGGAAATGGGAAATGCAACATGAATTTCAGTAAGTTTCTTGAACAGCAATCCGTGTCAGTACATTACCATATAGGAACGACTACTTGTTTATATTTTCAATCTACTAACTTTTTATCAGTAATGGATTTACCAGTCAATAAATTAAGACTTCACGTGCTTGTTGGACGTATTAAATGAGGAAGAGCCGTATAATCAGTTCAGTTCTATTTTTAGATGCTTGCCAACAGTGAATGACCTATAACAGGCGGGCACCGAAAATATAAAAATCAATGCTGGACTAAGAATAGAAATAGAACTACACTAAAACTAGGTAATAAAGTAGTACAGATAACACTTTAATGACGTAACTCAATAGCATTAAGCAAGGAAAAATATATTCTTAATGGAAATGCTGTGTTCATTGAAACCGCCCAGAGATATACAGATGTCGTTTGCGCCTATGACGTACTTTGTCGAAGGGTTAAGTCTTGAGACATTACTGACGTCATAGACGGGAAGTCTCTAACTTGCTTAATGAGCACAAGAAGATGAGCAGTATTCATAATGGAACAAGAGTTAATTTTGTTCCTCAAAACATTAATAGAAAATAAAGCGTTAAATTTTGTTGCCTAGAAAAACGATTTTTAAAATTTAAACAATTCGACATTGATTCATAATTAGAAAGATATTTGGACTGAATAAATCGATTATAGAATAGTATATGTGAAAACGTTCTTTGCAAGTTTCCCAACTCATTAGAATCTCCCAGAGTAAGGTTATTTAGCCGGTCACGGTAATCGAGCGGTCTAAGGCATGCACTGTCTTCGCTCTCTCAGAAAGCCGGGATCGTAGGTTTGAATCCCACTTAGAGCATGGATGTTTGATGTTTGTGTATGCGTGTGCGTGTGTTTCTGTGTTTGTGTACAGTTAGAGGCCTTGCGACGAGCTGATCTCCCGTCCAAAGATTCCTACTGACTTTCTTTAAGATTTAGTAAACTGAAGGGAAACGGAAAGTTTCATGGAGGCAGGCCAAGGCCAAGATTGAGGCTGTAGCATCAAATGAAAAGAAAGAAGGTTATTTCAGACGCGTACTCAAGCTTATAAAGAATTAAGGAAATATATAAAACTTTTAGAAAATACAAAGAAGACAAACTTTATGTGATGAAATGCATTAGACCTAACAGCTTTAGAGCCAAAGAATATCAGTAGTCAGAGTGATGATAAAAATGCAGTTCTCTACCTTACATAACCTCAAAATCGTTTACACAATCATTTCATACAAATAATAGACGAAACTAAAAGTAAAACTATCACTATAACAGGCCGTGAAGACCGATAGGTTTGTGAGACGTCGTTGCTCCCACATTTTTTCTAGACAGTCGGCTCACAGATGGTGGTGAGGTCAGCCTTACGCACCGGCCGCCTTTTTACCCCTAGGAAGATTTCTGCTACCCATTTCTATTAGAAGGTGATTCAACCCCCAGGGCCATAGTGCAACTGGAAGAATTGGGTAAACTGGAAAATCCAATGACCTCATCAGGAATCTAACCCGCAACCTTCCGCCTTGTAGCATAGTGCCTCAACCAACTTCGCTAACCCGTGGTCCCCGATTAACAGATGAGCTACCAAGTAATTAAAATGGTCCCTCTTAGCTTAGCGAGTAAAAGAAATTATATTGGTTTTGAAGAGTTAATATTTATGCGATTTTAATAATACTCGTAGTAAAAGTAACTGCCTTCTAACTAACTACAGGAAGCTGAGCCCTTCTTGATAAGCCGCCAATTGTGCAGCTATTCAAGAATCTACCAGGCTTTTATGGAACTTGAATATTCATTGCCGTTTTCAAAAGAGGCCTAAGCTGGCCCCCATACAGAGTAAGATAAAACTAGTTCATATCACCCCATCCCATTTATTTACGATCCATTTTAATATTATCCACCCACCTAAGTCTTGGTCTTCCTAATGGTCTCTTTCTTTCTGGCATTCCCACCAATATTATGTATGCATTCCTCTTTTCCCCTATTTATGGTACATGTTCTGCACATCTCATCCTCCTTGACTTGATCATTCTAATAATTCTTGGCCAAGAGTAGAAGTTATGAAGCTCCTCATTATGCACTTTTCTCCAACATCCCGTCACTTCATCTCTCTTTGGTCCAAATATTGACCTCAACACCCTTTTCTTAAACACCCTCAGTCTATATTACTTCTTCAACGTCAGAGCCCAATTTTCACACCCATATAGAACCACAGACAAAATTATAATTTTGTATATAGTCATTTTTATGTTTTTAGACTGCAGACGAAGAGACAAATTTTCTGGACTGAATATTAGCAAGCATTACCTGAATTCAATGTCCTCTTAATTTTCTCCCGAATCAGGTTTTGATTTGTCATAGTGGTTCCAAATGTCTGAACTGTGCCATATTTTCAAAACATCTGTTAGATATCTTTATATCATGATTTTCCCTGTACTCGGGTGATGAGGCAGCAACATACACTTAGTTTGCTCTGTGTTTACTTCTAGACCAAGCTCCTTAATAGCGTCAATTAAAGTCTGCGTGTTTTTGTTCATGTTATCTATGTTATCACCCAATAGATTCAGATCATCAGCATAGTCCAATAGCTGATGTGTCCAACTTAATTTCAGTCTCACCTGGTTTTCCCACCTTTCTAATGGTATATTCTAAGGCAAAGTTGAAAAGGAGTGGCGATAAATCATCTCCTTGTTTTAGACCGCTCTGGATAAGAAAATTATCAGACAAATATTTACCTACACGGACTTTGCTATAAGTTTCGTTTAAACACATCTTAATCAGCTTAACTAGTTTCATGGGTTCCCCAAACTCTATCAGAATATTGTACAATACTTCCCTTCTAACTGAATCATAGGATCTCTTGAAGTCTACAAATAGCTGACGTACTATCTTATCGTACTCCATTTTTCTCCAGTATCTGACGAATGCAAAAGATTTCATCGGCAGTTAATCTCTTACGTCAAAACCCACACTGATGCTTCCAAATAATTTCATCTATATATGAACTTAAACTTGAGAGAAGAATATTGAATACAATTTTGTATGAAATTGACAGCAGTGATATTCCCCGATAATTACTACAATCAGTTTTATAACCCTTCTGGTGACATGGATAATAATTAGACTCCTTCCACTGATCATGCAATTCTTAGTTACCCCAAATAGAATTAATGAGCTTATGGATCTCAGACCGCAATATTTCACCTCCTGCTTGAATCATTTCTGCCGGAATTTGATCAGTACCTGGCGATTTATACCTTTTCAAATTTCCAACAGTAATTTCAACTTAGAAAGGATTATTATCAGGTACTATCGGCTCAGTTGTATGTATTTCTATCTGTCCAATATCACTGATCCTATATACATTCAATGACTGAGAGAAGTTGTTCTTCCACCTATTCAAAAATGTCAGAATCTGCAAGCAGATCACCGTTTTTATCCGTCACTGAAACACTTCTTGGTTGGTAACCCCTCTCAAAGTCATTTATTATTTTGTAAAAGTCTCTAAAGTCACGTCTTATGTAGTTCAGGTTATCCCCATTTATTTTACTTGGATATTGTAACAACTGCAGTTTGGTTTGTTTCCTTTGATCGAATAATTTTAATGATCTTTCGTCGATCCATGACTTATGTTTATAAAGTTCATAATAACCTAGTCTCTCTTAGGCTGAAATTTTCATATTCTGTCTAATAGTTTCCCAAGCTCCATTAATATCAACCTCGCCGTCTAAGTTTTAAAAGGTATGAACCTATCTGAGATTTCAACACGATACTGATCTTTACCATTTATCTCATTTAATATCTGGAGATTAAATTTCTCCATAATAAATGTGTGTGCTGTTTGGTTACTCACTGTCAGTCTCTCCCTAACTTTGCCACCACCAAATAATGGTCAGTACCACAATCAGCTTTCCTGGATAATCGGACATCAAGTACATTTAATGCCATTTGCTGTCTATCAAAATATGGTCAATGTGTTTGCGAATTTCCATCAGGAAATGTCAAAGTAAATTTATGAATGTTACATTGTGGAATTTTAATAATAATAATAATAATAATAATATTGTGAAATCTGAATTTCTCACAAATGGGAATAATAAGATTCAGATATTCTTGGTTCTGACACCCTGAGCTTAGGTAGAGAACTACAAATATTTTGGGAGGACTCTGCACGGCCTGTGAATATGTAGGCAGTATATTCATCCGAAATGTTGATATCTGTTTAACAAACTACGCCACGTCACACCTCAGAAGTCCGTGATCTCAGTTTCACCCCTGTGTTTTCCGCACAAAATTATAATGATGATGATGATGATGATGATGATGATGATGATGTTGAAATGAAAACATTTCTGTGGAATCCCGGAAGATGCAAGAGAAGTTAGATACAAAGTTCTATGCGTCCCTTACGGCAATATGCGTTGAAGGAAATCTTTCAGATGTCTCTGTTGCTTCTTGTTGCTTGCAGAGGGAAGAGCAAATATAGTAGATTATGCCTATTAACTATTGTGAAAATACAGGAAGACTAAAGATAAAATAATGCAGTAAGAACGGTATTTCTTTCGAACCAGAAAATGAACATAATTTTTTCCAGAACTTATTAGTGAGTGAAAGAAAGAATGGATAAATGAATGCATGAGGGGTAAATCGCGACCTACACTTTCACCGTGATCTTCGAGCTCTATTGTGCATCCCCCTCTATTGCACTCCTTCAACAATCCTATACTACGAAAGAGTGCAGTATCTTACTACAATAAGATCCTGAAGTCTTGAGCCAGGTGACATAATCTTAAGTCAGCTATAGCCTCACAACCACGTCGGATATGTGTGGCTGTTCTCTAGAACGCCATATTCTTCTTGATGAAGTGATGAAGATTGTCAACAAAAGCTTTACCCTCTCTTTCCAGTAAAATGGACTTATTCAGTTCTTGAAGCCTCTGTTATGAATACTCAATCCAGTATCCACGAATGTGTTATTATATTATTTCAAGTCAGATTTCAAGGGATGTTGCTGGCCTGAACACCGTTATGGCTTTGTCTGCTATGTGCAGTGTTGGAAGGCTCCAGCATGGGGAACGCAGTTTCCATTCCCCTTCCTTGAATGGGTATTCTTCCAAGTAGTCCACTGTGTTGGAATGATGTAACAGGGAAGTTCCTCAACCCAAAGTGGTGGCCTATTGCCAGATGTCGAGAAGATGAAACATAAGTCACCATCCCGTTTTCACCGAGAATTTTGGGTCAATTATGTAACGCTTCTGAATTGTATTCAAGAGAAGAAGGTTTCGAATCCCAGTCATGACATTGACTACACTCATTGTGCTTTCTCGGGGTTCTCAGTCTCTCGAGGTAAATGCTGGGATAGTACCTCAAACTAGGGCAAGAACTCTTTCGCCACCTTCTTCCCAGTTCATAATTTACTATCCTGATGCCATCGGATTTTATATATTGTGAGATATTGGAACCGTAGTAAAATAAACCAAAAATAAAATAATTCGTATAGTTATTTAGCAAGTGTGTCAAGGTGCTGTTCAGCTGAATACAGATATTTTGGGAATTAGTTGTTTGTGCATTTGCAGTCCTCACGTGTTGACATTCTTCTACCCTGGAAGCAAGTTACACGCTTCCTTTCTGTCGCAACGACTTAACGTAAGAAAGGAGCGCTATGAATTCGTGACGCAGAGCAGGAGGTGGAGTTGCTGACGACGAAGCTAATTAGAGACATGAAAATGTTTATGATAGGAGAAAACACCTTAATGAGGTCTATAGTTGTTATGCGTTATTTTCCTTTACGGTGAACCTTTTTTTTTTTTGAGAAAAAATATACAAAGCTTTTCATGAATTCGTATGAAGTACCTGGGGTCGCATCCGCCCTTTCGCATGCTTCGATTATTATCTACTGAATGGATTTTATTGCAGTGTGTTGATGTTCTACATTAATATTCATTGCGTTAATTTTAATTTGTTTCTCAATGGTTCAACATAGCCTTAGCTTTAAATAGAGCTTAATAAAACCCAGCAACTTGATCCGTAATATAAATACAAATATCACTATAATATATTCGCGTGTTTTCTAGGCAACGAGATAAGAAATTGTGTGGGTCTCAGATTTGGACGATCACCCTTTACACTCACAAGTACAATTATTCTCAAATTATAACGTCCTCGGACGTTTCCTCTTCCGTGTTATACACTCTCGCACTGCTAATCTCGGTGAAGTGTCTTCTGCTCTGCTCGGAGCTCAACTGCCCTTAGCTCTAGTCGGATTTGGACTAACTGGTCTCTTGCCGAAGTTGACTGTTATATCCTGCACACGGGTTGAATGAGGAACACCTTGTCGAAGGGTTTCATTTCGCCCGTTGCTATGCAACGACTCTCTTGTTGCCGCGGAAATTCATGTTTACTGTCTCAGACAATTAGTTACAAATAACGGTGGAAGCCCCACTGTTAGATTTTAATCTCCGGAGCAACGATTTCATAGGCTTTGCTGCCTAGGAATTGCTAGAAGTTGACCAATGAAGTAAGTCTTATCATCCGACCTTCCTGGCGGCACGTCACAATATATTTTTTCAAAAGATTTATATGAATACTATTAAACAAAATGCATGAAAATAATTTTAGGCCCCTTGAAGTACGATTTGCTTGGCAAAACTGATATCTAAATGCTATATTGCAGGCCATCTTTTAACTCTCAGAGAACAAATATCGAGACAAAAAAAGGGTACAAACTCGCGAACAAAGTGTTTCAGAAATAGTCCATATGCATTCGGGAGTAGAAGGCCCCTTTTCAGTTTTATGGATTCATAATTAGGCTTATGTTGGTATGTTACAACACGAAGAAGGTTAAGAGTGCTTAGAAAAAAATGGACTAATTCTAGTTCTGTCAGAATGAGAAATGTTTGCTACAGTTAATATTATTGTCCTCTTTAGACAGTTGGAACTATCTTAAAATGTGAACTAGTGTGCCACCCTCTTTGCTATTAATGTATTTGTGTCTAGATTTTTATATGTTACCGTCTATAATTAACTAAAATATACAGCTGTAATGATTAAGGAGCAGCTAAATTAAATTGATCAATTAATTTTTGAATTCATTTTACTGTGAACAAGTGGAACTCGCTGCGATAGTAGATAACTTTTACGACAAGTGTGTGTGACGCATGTGGACTCATCACCAACCTAAATAATAGACCCGGTTTTCTTCAGCAGTGACTGGGCGAGCGTGTTTCTGCTCGGGTAGATTCTATAGGGTCCTCACGATGGCGTATAACACTCTGAATTACTGAGTTTTTCGACTTTATCAATCTTCCGGTATTTATAAGAAAACACTAGAGAACACAGCATCTGGGAAACTGGACCAGTTTCCGCCCTCAGATGAGAAGGGGAGACACCTACTCTGCTAGATTCGTTAGAAGGTGCTCTCCCCTCACTGAACAATTTGTATGCAGGACGGAAACAATCCAGTTTCCGAAACTTTCTGTTCTGTAGTATTTTTTATAATCCCAGGCGATGGACAATGAGACTGACTGATCCCCCGTCCAAGGAGTCCTACCGAATGTGGATAGTATCAAGAAACCCAAAAAGTGGCCAAGGCCAAACAAAGGACTGTAGAGCCACAATGATGATTATGGCCATAATTCAATTAAATTCAAATCAGTTCTTTTTTATTTATGTTCTGAGCCAACAGCTAAAAGGCCAATTATACACACAGCACAGTGTAGATACAAGTAGTTACATACTGGACAAACACAACAAAAATTCAAAGACTAATTAAAGGTAAACATTGGAGGAAAACACATTAATGCATATAACGAAACAAACAAAATAATAATAATTTTATTATCTCAAATCTAAGTTGCTATGGACAATTGAGAAATGTAAAATATAGATATTTAGAAAGAACAATAATAATAACTCAGTTTAATAATATCAATAATAATAAAAAAGACGACGGATAAAGCCCAAAACTCAGTAATTCTGAATGTATAGATAAATGAACTGAGGAAATAATTCCACAAAGAGACGCTTAAGAAAATGAGGACTGAGAAACTTATCACGATGAGAATCCTGGTCACTGGCGTATGGTTAGTGCAAATGGACCTAGAGTCCAGCTGCTTTGATGACGTTCTTCGGGTTCACTGACAGCTGCATATTTGTGTAATGTAATGTATTGTAGCTTCTGCCACATTCACGGAGAATGCTATAGACGCACTGTGCCGTGTGTTGTGGATCTCTTTCCGGCCTGGTTTTCGTGAGTGAACTTCTAAGAGTGTGCTTTGTTTTGAAGATCGTTTTAATGTTATATCGATTCCATATGCTTTTTAATTTCTCTGAAACACCCTTCGCATATGGGATATCAACAGAACCAAAAGTCTTTTCCTATTTATTTCGGAAGACTGCTGTTCTGGGAATTAATAACAGAGTCAATAAAACCTTGGGGATAATTGTTGAGCTGAAAATCACGACTCAGAAATTCTGATCATAGTACACCATCGACAGAACACTTTAGAATCTACTCTGAAAATCGTATATATTTTACATTATTTAAGTAGAAATGTGAAATGAAAGCATAATGGGGATGGAGTACCTGTACCTCTGTCTGCCCATCCGCACATTATATTGTTATAAGTTCTTGTTTGTTTCTACGACATATGATATTAAGGGATCTACATAAGATTTTGCTATTTTAAGTCAAATTTGTCCATATTTGTCCCTTAGAATGCCCAGTTTTCTTGGAATTCAACAAATTTGTTAGATTTTTCATAAAGACATATCTTATAAAATCGGTTAACTACAACGAAACACGTGTCATTGTGTTCTATAAACATTTGCAACATTCTATAGAATAGTATTTAACAGAATATAAGGACATTATTTTATGGCTCTATGTACAGATATTCTATCCCATCTGTGGTGTAACTAGCTCTGAAATAATAGGTTTGTATTAACCATAGATTTGAGCCTATTTACAGTAAAGGAAAAACCGTCAAAGGACTATGTAATATAACAAAGAAAGAAACATACTTGGAAAACGACATGCCTTGATCAAGCAACTTTCCTGAAATCCCAAATATTAAAGCATAGGCCTTCAGAATTATATTTTTAAGAATGCCAGTTACTCCCTCTTTCTTATGGAACTGAGGGCATTGCAACTGCCTAATACTCTTGGAATAAATGGATGTAAAGGACGGGATACGCAATACGCATGTGAGGTACCAGAAATGCATACAAAACTAAGGTCGAAAATTTTCAATGGATAATGCCACTTCCGAGACCTAGGCGTATATGGGTGGAAAAATTATTCAGGACGTGTAAATTTAGCTGGATTCATCACACTCGGGATGCATTCTAATGGTGAGCTGCTCTGAACAGGTTAGTGAAATTTAGGGGTCCATGAAGGCAGGAAATCCTTTAAAGCAGTGAAGTAATATTTGACTTCTGCGCAACTACCTTCAAGTTAATTCCTTAGTTACACTCCTCAGGAGTAACATAAAACACAAAGCTGTCTGTCTAACACGAAGGTTCTCTTTTATGTTTTGTTTCCTTCCAGCTGACCATGACGTGACAGTGAGAATTAGATCTGAACCGCTGTCAATGAACGAGAATATCTACTGGGATATCAAGGAATTTGATCTGAAATCTGTTAACCTGAAATTATTCCAAGTAAATTTCGAGAACCTTTTCAATGGGGAGAAAGAACTGGGTAAGTTAAGAGAGTAAATCTCTAGAGATACTAATGCTGGTAACATAGAAATATAGCAGTTCGTGTTCTAGAGCAGTGATTCCCAGATTATATCTCTTTTGGTCACAAAATCGACTTCATAAAAAAGAAAGAAACCATCAGTAATTATCCTGGAAACGATGCTAACCCTGCAGCAATTTCCCATTCCATTTCGAACACGGATTTAAAATGTGAATAGATTGTGGATGGAAAAGGGTTTTAAGGATTTATGACTCTTAAAACAGTGGTTATGAAGAATTGCACTATCAGGGATACAAAGCCGTGCAATCCGTTGAAAGTCAAGCGAAATTTATTTTATACTGAACATTGACATACTTCGTATCGTTGAATATTTACAACACGAAAGCTATATGAAAATCTAAAATTAATAGAATAAGTAAGTACGTCTATTCTTATACCGGTGTATACATGTGCCTGTTTAACATTTATAAATGCATGTGTGTTTCATTACCTTCAGGTATCCTCAAGGTGTATATGAACTTCATAATTTTAAGTATTATTATAAATATACTCTTTCAGCTACAATTCTAAAATAAATTCTTTCCAGGAAAGTGTTGATATGGACAGTTTTTTTTTATTGGTATGCGGAACTCGTGGCCAAAATTTGTCCACACCTTTCAGTTACGCTCTGTGTATGCAAATAAATTACCCATAAATTTCTTAGGAATAAAAATGCGGATGGGGGCTGATATAAAAACGAACCTTCGAAACATATGCTATTAAGTTGAACTGTCTTAGATAAGATTAAACGGCAAAATGCTGTGAACGGAGGCCAACATGAACCTCAATTGCGTAGCCGAATAGCTACAAGCCTACCCAAAGGAGACAGTTCGCAAGATTATAGTTAGGTAGTCTGTATAAGCTGAAATCGAAGAATTCGGCAATTTGTCAATGACTGTCAGAAGGAGGCTAGGTCTAGCAAAAAATGTTAAGTAGATAGAAGAAAATGCTTGCTAATATCCATACAACTACACACTAATCCGAGTCGCAATAAATGTATAAAGGAGTCGTACAGAATCTCTCGGTTCACGAATCCAGCCTTCCAACTGTCCTCGTATTAACAGAGCAGCAATACTTAACGTCAGACGTCAGTTAGTATCTGCCGATGTAGAGCTTGTCAGTGTGAGTCACTGAGGGAGCTATGAAATTTCTGATGTATTTTGCTACAGTGAATGAATACAGCGATAATTCTCGCTGGACTCTGTCCTTTAAGAATAAAAAAACAGGAATAGAGATTGGATTCTCAAATTATTTTCAGGTTCTGTCTGGTTTATATTGTATACTTTGTATCCACTAGGCTACAGAAATCTTATATTGTCTAAATTTTCAGTTTCTATTAATCCAGGTGCCATTCTGTCGCTTTACATATTTTGACTTCCGGAATTATATATGTAATGTGGAAACGAGTTTCAGCTGTTGTGACCAATATCAGCCTTGTGTGCCACTCTTGCTTCGTACACGGTAGAATCTGGGTTCAAATATCGGCCTGAAGACGACTATTCTGAATGATATTTTCACAATTTTCCTCAGTCTTACTTACTTACTTATGGAGCTGAGCCCTTCTTGAGGAGAAGGCAAACGTGCAGCTACTCAAGAATTTTCCAGCATTTTATGGAACTCGAGGGTTCATTACCGTGTTCACAAAAGCCATTCACTGGTCCCTATCCTCAGCCAGATCAATCCAGTTCCTTCCATCACATCCTATCTCTCTAAGATCTACTTTTAATATTGTTCACCCACTTACGCCTTGGTCTTCCCAGTAGTCTCTTTCCTTCTGGCTTTCCTACCACTATCCTCTATGCATTCCTCTTCTCCCCAATTATTTTCCTCAATCTACCAACGAAAATTCCGGGATAGAATCCTAAAGTAGGTCACATTTTCTCATTTCCACGTCCTTCCCGTTCATCATTTAGTAATCACCCTATTTTTCCATTCAACCTTACCTATGAAAAGCATCAATATATAACTAAGTGTAGTTTCACAACGGATCAATCATCGCGTGCCTTGGGAATTTCAGCCTTGATTGGTAGAAGCTGAAGAATATCGCTGATTTTTTCTACATCACCACTAAATCCCTTGGCGCAACAAAATGTGACATAACAAGAAGCAGGTTGTATTCATGATTCAATCTCATCTACTTAAGCAACATTCTGACAATATAAAATTTGAACACCGATGTCATCTTAAATTATAGGCTAATTAAATCGATCAAAATTCTCAGAGCTAATTTCTCCAAGGCCACTTGAAGTGTTCCGTGGTAGCTAAGGGTAAAATATTCTACTACAAATCTCCATGTAATCCAGATGACCAACCAGACCTGTTCTCACCTTTGTGAAGCTCGCTCATACCAGTCTGTTACATAATTAGCATAATAAAAAAGGTATACTTCTACGAAAAAGAGTCACTATTAAGTAAACTTTCTCTCCGCTTTTAATTGTTCTCGCTTACGCAGATGCTTTTTCCTCTCACATTTTATTTTATGCTTATTCGTGATTTGCGTTTCATTACTCTTATAATTATGTTAATGAGTTGGAATAACTCAGTCCTCTAAGACAGCGAAAAGCTGGACGGCCGAAGTCCGTATTACATAAAGAAAAGGAATTTTGTCTTTGAAGTGTTCAGTCGAGAATTGTGGCCCTCAGAGCTGCCTCCTTATGAATAACAGATAGTCAGTCATTCGGGAGAGTTAATAAATGGGGGAGCAGCTGATAAGTTACTTCCACCTCGTGACGATATGTAAAAATAATAAAAAAACATATCCATGTCTCTAATGTGACTTCATAACATGTACCTGGGCATAAGGATAACATTAATGAGAACAGCAAATCTATGTTATTCTTACGGAGTAACAAGCCACGTCTCACTAGAATACAGAACTGCCAACAAAATGCTTATTTTCATATCTTAATGTGCTTCTTTCTGAATACAGGTGACAACACAAACAAGGTTTTGAACGAGAACTGGAAGGAGTTCTTCGAAGAACTGAGACCAACTCTCCATGACACTTTCGGCGTTGTTTTCCTGAAACTAGCGAACACACTATTTCACAAAGTTCCAGAGAATGAAATATTTCTGAAGTGAATGTCGCACACGCTTACAATAAAGCTCACATTAAACGTGCATACGCAGCTCCTTCACGCAATCAATTCGCAATATCAGGAAATTTCCAAGAATGTACTGGTTACTTAGCACGTTTGTTTTCTTAGTGCATGAGTTAGCTATAATTTAAAAAGACTAAATTTCGTACGATTAACCAAAAACCAATCACATACAAAATCAATAGTAGCCTGTAAAATAAAACAGTTACTACGTTATTCAATGGCTCAACAAAAGAAGATATATATAGAATGATTAACTGAATCGCATAATACATTACTATAGATTTTAAGAAGAAATGACCAAAAGATAGACCGTTGATGGATACCCCCGAAAACAAAATAAAACGAGATGAAGGTATACCAGAAATACGTGCAGAAGACAGTCTCTGTGTTATCTATGGCTCTACCGTCCTTTGTTGGACTTGGCAGCTTTTCCAGTTATATAATCCTATACACAGCCAGTAGGGCCCCTTGGACGGGGGATCGGCCTGTCGCAAGGCCGCTACCTACACGCAGAACAACTCAGAATAAAGTACACAGATATTCATGCCTTGAGTTGGATTCGAACCCACGATCCCAGCTTTCGAGCGAGAAAAGACAGTTAATGCCTAAGACCTCGCGGCCACTGTGATTGGCTTGTATGTGTGTTAGGTAACTGGGAAATCAATTTAAGTAACAGTAAAATAATCCATAATTATTAAGTTTATATAGAGGAAGCCCGGTCGCTGTAGCCGAGCGGTCTAAGGCATGCACTGTCTTCGCTCGTTCTGAAGCCGGTATCGTGGGTTCGAATCCCACTCAGGGCATGGATGTTTGTGTGCGTTTTTCTGTGTTTTTCTACAGGTAGAGGCCTTGCGACGAGCTGATCACTCGCCCAATGAGTCCTACCGTATGTGTAAAATCGAATAAAACCGAAGTTCATGGAGGTAGGCCTAGGACCACTGGGGCTGTAGTGCCAAGGGGGGAGAAAAAATATAGAGGCAGTACATGTGGATTAATGCCGAAAGCATGACAAATGCCAAAATAAATTTAATCAGTTTTATTTTATAATTAATTGAGGGGTCAATGGAAAAAAAAAAGCTGAATATATAAATAATAATGTTTAATTTTTAAATTACCTGCTTACTCAGCAGCCCAGAGGTCAATTGTAAATTAGAACAGTTAGAAAAACAACAAAACAAACAAAATATAAAACAATTCAACTAACATAATTTATATAATTATTATTATTTAGCAGAATTTTTCCAATCATTTTGTGATGAGAAAAAAATTTTGTAAAAATACAAATTCTGAATGTAATTAATATTTTAATAATAAAGAAAGTTGGCTCTGTGATTGGTTCTGTATGGGTTTGAAACTTCATCTCTGCCATGAAGGGAGGAACATAGACTGAGGGTGTTTGAGGAGAATATTTGGACCGAAGAGGGATGAAGTGACAGGAGCTTGGAGAAAACTGCGTAATGAGGAGCTTCATACCTTGTTCTCTTCTCCAAGTATAATTAGAATAATCAAGTCAAGGAGGATGAGGTGAGAAGGGCATGTAGCACGAATGGGGAGACGAGGAATGCGTATAGGATATTGGTGGGAAAGCCAGAAGGAAAGAGACTACTGGGGAAACCTAAGGGTAGGTGGGTAGACAATATTAAAATGGGTCTTAGAGAGATAGGATGGGATGGGATGGATTGGATAGATCTGGCTCAGGATAGGGACCAGTGGATGGCTCTTGTGAACACGGTAATGAACCTTCGGGTTCCATAAAATGCTGGGAAATTCTTGAGTAGCTGCAGAATTGGCAGCTCCTCCAGAAGGGCTCAGTTCCATGAGTAAGTAAGTAAGTAAAGGTCTATGATTATGAAACTTGTTAAAGAAAAACAGTTTTGGTTTCATATATGTCAGCATCCCTACAAACAACAATAAGAGCTGAAGCACATTTTGTAGGAGGTCAACTCTTACTCGAAGATCTCAAGTTTAACGCATAAATGTTTTTCATACACTGAATTAAAAAAAAACATAATTTAGAACCAAGGTAAACTTGAATTAGGAAAAAACACCAAAGTGCTACCTCCTCTTACGTAAGATGTACAAATTTAAATACTCTAAGCATAAGCGTAAGCATAATGATAATAATACTTTTCAAATACTTTTTATATGCTGAGCAGAATAGACAGAGACAATTACAAGGTCAGCACGTGCACAAAGAAAAAAACAACAATAATTTAATACAAAGTGGAACCTCGCTTAACGAACATAATTCGTTCCAGAATCTTACTCGTAATGCGAAACACTCGTTAAGCGAAACAATTTTTCCCATATAAATTAATGTAAAATACGATAATGCGTTCCATGCCGAAAAAAAATACTCAAAAACTTTTATGTATAAGGTTTATTCAAAGGAAATTATATATACATTGTTAAGGAGCGTGAATCATCTTCATCTTTTCTTCTATGCAGAATGAACCAACCTGGAATGCGAATTCCATTCGCAGAAAAAAAAATAATAATTAGTTTATTATTTTTGATACATATCTAATTCTTTTTTACTAGAAAGCTGTCTAGAGACATTTGTTTTTGCCGACGCTTCAAAATTTGGTGAAAATGGGACAAAGCATTATCATTAAATAAATTTGTAGCGCGCATAGCCATTGCCTTATTAGGGTGATGCTTCTCAACGTACGATGCAACAGTTTCCCATGCTTTCAGCATTTCTCTTATTGCTCCAGAAGATTGTTGCTTTGCTGTTACCTCCTCCTCCTCCTCCTCCTGCTTGAGGATAGTGCAAATCTTTGATGTAGACCGCGTGTATGTGCGTGTTAGATCAGCCACGCTCACACCTCGTTCTCGCTTTTGAATGATTTTACGTTTCATTTCTGAGGTTATTTTTATTCTCTTATGGCTGTCTTTTTGCGGCTTTTTTTGGGAGACATTTTTGCAAGGGTTTTAAACTTTGCACAAAAACAATCACAAATAATCCCAAACACAAGTTTGGGAAAATGTGTGATCACAAGCGACACTAAGACGCTATCGGAACGAGTGCTAAACACAGACTGATGTAGCAAGCGCACAATCCGGGACTTCCCCTCTCGTCACTCGTTATGCGAAATGTCGCTCGTTAAGCGAGTCATGTTTTTACAATTTGTTTTGCTCGTTAATCGAATTACTCGTTATGAGAGGTGTTCGTTAAGCGAGGTTCCACTGTAATAAGAAAACTGAATTAATTACAGTTATACAATTTTTAAGGGAAGTTTTTAAGAACCCCGTTAATTTTCAGTCTAAATTAGCATCAGACGACCATAGAGAAATTACAGTGTTCAGAGCCAAAGCACGAATAACCTCTGTTCCAGAATAAGAAGAAAAAAGAGTTACGTGCAATGGGATGATACTAAGACTGAGGCATATCCAAAGCAAAATAATGGTGTTTATAGTCGAAAGACAATGTGATGTTGTGAATCAGATCTAACAATTTCAATGCATTTGGAAGATGAAGATCAACATGTTTATGAAAATAAAATTTACAGCCGATATAATCTGCCAAATCCTTAATAAAATCATTTTGTCTTATAAGAACATGAAGAGTGAATGACATGTTTCTTGGGAACCTCCGAAGATATAACCTCAGGCCTTGTCAAGTGTTACATCTATGAAAACCCACTGGTTGATCAACTGTGAAGACAATTTAAATTATAATTTTCAGGATTTCGTTCTGTTTCGCTTCGTAACTTCCTCTCTTCCTCAGGTAATTTTAAGAGAATTTCATAATATTCTCAGTTATGTTGGTGCAAATTCTCTAAAGTGTAAGTATATTAATAATTCGTTTCAATTCTTTCATTTAGGTACTTGTCAACAGCGAGTAGCCTAAGGAAGACGAGCGCTGGATGTATATAGATTCAAAAAAAGAGTTGAAATGGAGACAATACAGGTAACTCGTTAATAGAGTAACAAAGACTGTGAAATAAGTACGATTAATACAGTGAAGAAATACTCCCAAGGGAGACAATGTGTTTATTGAAAACATCCAGAGATCTATAGATGCAGTTTGTAGCTCTGACACACCTTGGAGGAGGCGGAGGTCTTCAGACATTTCTGATATTAAAGATGGAAAGTCCCAATTTCCTTAGCCAATTTTGTTATGTTAACAAGAAATAGAGCAGAAAGTTGTCACCTGGAATAGAGTATTGGGTAAAGGTAAACCTATCCCTGTAACAGGCCAGAGAGCCCCATATGGATGTGAGACGTCGAGGCTCCCATCTTTTCTAGACAATCGGCTCACAGATGACGGTGAAGTTGAATCAATAATACAAATATTGAACAATAGAAGTCCTGAAGTGTAGCCTTGTGACTCCTTGAAAACAAGGAAAAGGCGAGAAAGATTTCCTTAAAACGCGAAAAAAATAAATCTGATTCATAGATACTTTTGGAACTAGGTAATATGACGTTCTAAGAGTCCATAATCTGATTACCAATCCAAATCTATTCTACAATCACGCAATCATATTATAATAAATTTTAAGAACGAAACTTCCCAGATTTAATAGCTGTTTAATCCTATTTGAAATAATAAGAAACAAGAAGTTACTGTAAAAACTAACCGCCCGATTTCCATTCTAATGCTACATGTGTATTCGTTGCCGTGGGAACATGTTTACCGACCTGTTTGCTAGCAACTTCGATCTCTTCTGCCCCTACTTTTCCGACCTTCAGGCGTTATGTCAAAATTCTCCATCCATAAGGCTGCTCGTTCCGAGTAGCCTAGAGGCGAACCTTTATTCCTTCTTCCTCGAGGTTGCATGCCTCTGGCTTTCATGATCGACATCTCAAATGACACTGTGACGCCATGCTGGTCTCGACGGTTCTTCTTCCGGTTTCGACGATGTTTATCCTTTGTTCTTTGTGGGTTGGGTCTCAAAGCTTTCTTCCCTTGGGTTTGCTCGTCTCGAGAAGTTCTTCAAAAGTTATTAGGGGAGATAAACACTGACACAAAGAGAACAAGGTGATCTGATAAGCCTAATTTTATTTTTCTAAATGAGGAAAGTAGGCTAAAAGCAATGCAAAATTAATCAGAGTCTGAATTCTTGTGTCGTTGTGTCCCTGTGTCATTGTGTCCTTGTGTCCTTGTGTCCTTGTGTCTCCTTCTCAATATAAAAACTTTAGATTAGAGACCCAATGTGAAAAGTAGAATTTTTGGATGTTACACAAGAAGTGACTGAATTTATAACTACAAACACGATGGCTGTGAGATTATAAACCGCAGAGTTGATATAATTTACATTTAGCACACAAGACCAGTCAGTCTTATGTAACACATTTAAAGAAATACATGGTAACCTTGGACATAGTCGCTCTGAAGGATCCGGCAGATACATGGGCAGTTTAAATTTGATTCAAGGCTATGGGCCATACTGTGGGTCATACTAATTAGCATCAACCACGAAAAACTGGAGAGCCAAACGCTTAAGTCACTGATATTAGCAAATGCAGTGTGTCAACAAAGTCCCTTCGGGGTTTTGAAAAATTGTGGCCCGC